GGTGGTGGGTTGCTGACCACAAAAAAGTGAGGGCTGAAGGGTCAGAGAAGCTGGAGGAGTTCGAGGAGCTGGAGCAGGACTGAAAGAACCCTTCACCCTGAGCTGAAATTGTATGTGTGCAACCCCCCCCCCATTTCCTCTGGATACATGGACACCCACTTCTTCCTCAGAAGTCTCTGGTGAGACCCCGATAAGGGAGTTGAGTCATTCTTACCCTAACTCCCAGCCTGGTTCTGAGAGGGTGAGGGGAGGCATAGGGGTAGTTGGGGAAATGATGGCAAAGAACAAGGCTCCTGGAAGTAGAAGCTATCTGGCTCCTGCCCTGGCCTGAGAACTTTGCTACCCCCTCTGTCATGTTTTATGAAACAGCAACAACACACCCCCTCCGTGTCTCCTCCCAGGGAACTCCTCCTCCCTCAATACATTCCTGAGATGCATTCCAGAGGAGTTGGGCAATTGGAAGGGGGGAATGGAGGACAGGAGGTCAAATCCCAGCAAGGAATGGAATGTAAGTGTATTGGAACTAAGGAATTTTGGGGCATATGGAGAATACAGTCAGAGTAGGTACCCTCAAAGAGAACTGCAGAAAGATGAGGAGTTACAGCGAGGGTCAAAGGGAGAGAGAGAAAACTGAAGAGTCAGAATGTAAGAGAGTTGGGGGAGTAACAGACTGTTACCAAATTTGGCCTCTGAGTCCGAAACCGCGGGGGATGGGGGGAGGGTTTGTGGCTGAGACTGACATATCCGGCCTCCGGGCTGCTAGAGGCTCATTTAAGGCTGGACAGGGCAGCTGAAGGGCTGGCCCTGACTTCCTCCAACACAGCCCCTCCACATTTACAAGTGCACACTCATTCTCCTCTAATGTACCCCAGCCTATGCACAGGGCTCTTTCTCATAATACCACCTATGCTGTCTTGACATACACCTTATCTCAGTGATGGTAAACCTTCTAGAGATGGAGTGCCCACACTGCAACCCAAAACCCACGTATTTATCTCAAAAGTGCCAACACTGCAATTAAACCTGAATATTGAGATTTCAGTTTAGAAAAAAAACCCCTCTATATTAACATCTTTTGTCTTAAAAGAAAAAACACAAAACTCATCGCTTCTCGGCCTTTTGGCTAAGATCAAGTGTAAAAACACAAAACTTGCATGCCATAGGTTCACCGCTACTGCCTTATCTCAGTCACACAGCCTCTACACAGATCAATCTTGCAAGAACCCCATCCTCCCTCCCGAGCTTCCCCACAAATACACCCCCATGACAAGCACACCAAGGACCAGTGCCCCAGCTCCCAACACCTTTCCTCCCCTTGTGTTCAGTTCTCCATTTATAAGGCCAGCATTCCTTGAAGGCCTATTGTGGGGAATGCCCTGGGCCAAACTTTCAGTGACTGAGAACTGCAATGAGTAAGACCTAGCCTTTGCCTTCAATGGGCTCCCAGTTCTCCAGGCAAGTGGGTAAGTTAAATACACAGTTACAATAGAGAACAGGATGCAATAAAAGTCAAAGAGTTGTGCTCAGAGGAGAGATCCCTTTAAATTTAGGTAAGTGGGACCATGAAAAGTGTTACTTGAAGGTAGAATTTTTTAAAAAGACAATAAAAGGGCTGGGGATTTAACTCAGTGGCACTGCGCCGGCCTTGCAAGCACACGGTCCTGAGTTTGATCCCCCGTACCACACACACACACACACAAAGATAATAAAAAATGATAGCAATCTGACATTTATTGATTATATGTCAACTGCATTTTACACAGAATTTTTGTTTATCCTTACAACAACCCTGCAAGGTAGGTGTCATTTATTTCCTTTCTTACAGATCAGGAAACTGAGGCTTAAATTAAATGTTTAATGTACTTGTCCAAATAATAAGTTGTGAAGCCAGGATCCGAACCCAGGTCTCTCTTACTCCAAAGCCCAAGTGCTCTCTATCACATCAGCCAGAGATGAGTCAAAGGCAGCATTCCAGGCAGAGAGAATAGCATAAGCAAAGGTGGAGAAGCAGGAAATCGCGGAGGAGCATTCAAGGAAGTGAGCAGAAGGCTGGCTGATGTACAGGGTACCTGCAAGGGAGGAGTTGTGGGGAAGTCAGGGTTAGGATGGAAAGGCAGGGTAGACCTAGACTGGGGTATGAGGAATTTTACCTATTGGAAAGTAACGGGAGGCCAAGGAGGCTTTAAGCAGAGAAGGAACATAACCCAAACTGGATTTTAGGAACATAACTGTGGAGATTGGTTAGAAGTACACTGTATTAGTACGGGTAAGAGGTAAGAAAGCCAGAGTTAGAATAGTGAGAAAGCAGCCCCTCAGAAGGAATTTTAAGAGGTAAGACTGACAGAGCCTGATGACAGTCTGTTTCGTCAATACTCAGGGACAAGAACCCAAAGTCAGGCTGGGGTCCCGTACCTTCTGATCATCAGTGGCCACTAGTGGCTAGGGAAGCTCAGAGCTCAGGTAAGGAATTGGGAAAGGGGGAAGGGTCAGATTGAGATGGAAATGTGGGGATGAGGCTATGAGAAAAGATGGGAGGTGATTAATAATCAAGTAGGAGCAGATGGGGTGGGGTTAGTGACTACATCAGGATGGGAAGGGGGGAAAATCCACATATGAGCAGTCACTGGATGGGGCAAAGGGAGGAATAATTACATTACACGAATAGTGGCTAAGTCAGGGAACGATGGAATGAGGTGAGACAGCAGGTCAGACTACAGAGGTTTGATTAAAAAAATGGGGATATGGTAAGTGGCTAAATTAGGCTAGGGTGGGGAGGAGTGAAGGAACAATGGCAGTGTCTAAGTACAGCTGGAATTAGGATTAGGGGAGGAACAGCATGAGGTAGTTGGTGGCTGAATCAGAGGCTGGGTAGAGGATAGTGCTGTGGTCAGTGGTCAGGTCAGCCTGGGAGTGAAATGGGGGTGTGGTCAGTGGCCTGGTTGGGTGTGGGATCAGCAAGACCCAGTTTCCTCTTTGGGTCTCATTTCCTCTTTCTGTTAGGGAGTGGGGGAAGGGGATCTACAACTGGACCAAGACATTAAAGGTGGCTCAGAACCAGGGGATCCATGTAGCAGGTTTAAGGGTCAACTATTCAGCACATGACCAGGTGGTATGCATATGTACAAGTGAATGAAAATGGTGGGAGAGTGCTTTAAGATGATGGAAACCTCAGATTCGGGTGGGGGTATTAAAGTAGGATGTATAACAAGGTTTGGGAAGTGAGGCAGCAAGGAGGATGGAATGGATTGCTAAGAAGGTGTACAGAGGGCTGGGGATTTAGCTCAGTGGTTCTGCCACCTGCCTCACAAGCACAAGGACCTGAGTTCGATCCCCGTACCAAATAAAAGAAGATGTACAGAGGAGAGCTAAAGGGCAAGGAAGTATTCTGTAAGGAAATATAAAGGAAGGATGTGCAGTGTGGAACCAGGGATAGGAGTTGGAGAGGAAGGCTTAATACCTAGGCAATAAGGGAAGAGGGAAACAGTAAACTGTCAGGAGATTCAGTCATCCCCTTCCTCCTCGATAACAGTGTCCCTCTACTTAGTCACAGGTCTCCTCTTTGCCTGACAGTCCCCTCCTCTTATGACTAGACCTTGTACATTTCCCAGGGCCCTGTCCATTTTTCACCTCCCATCTCGTAACAACATAGTCCAGGAATCCCTGCCCTCTTAACTGTGGCAGCCACAGTAAGATCCTTGATCTTGGTGTGGAATAAAGAAGCTGGAATCCCAGATACCTGCAATCCTAGCTGAAATCCAGAACCTTGACCTGTCATTTGTACATGAGAGAAGTCACTGTTACTACAGAGGAATGAAGGACTTCTCCACAAAACAAAGACATCCCCTTCCTGCTAATCTCTTAAATTTTACCTGCTCAAGGTTAACTACATACCTCGGCCTCAACCACAACTCATAAACTTACCTCTAATTCCTGACCCTAATTTGTTTCCTGATCCCCAGTACTGTCTTTGACATTTATCCCTTTCCAAGAAGACATGCTGATCTAATTTTTACCTTTAACAACACGCTCCCTTACTTTAAACTAAAGTTTGAGCTGTAAGCCTAAAGCCCATTTTTAATTTGACTCCTAAAACATGTTTTCAGTTTTTGCTTAACATTGACTGTCACAAGTCTTTCATCCCTAAAACGGACTTCTAATTCGTGTTGTTGACCCTTAACCTGGTACTGAACTCTGACTTTTGCTGGGCATTCCAAAAAACAAAATAGTGACCTTAACCTAAACTTCACCTAACAAAACGGACCCAACTCACACGAATAACTTCAATTTTAGCCCCCGCGGGTTCTAAACTTCTACTGACCACTGACTTCTAAAGCCAAACACACATAAATTCCAAAGTCACCCAAAGCTTTCCTACCCACTTACCCGCTATCAGCTAACACCAAAGCCCATCCCCGCCCTGCGCCTCACTACCACCCCATTTCTCACCCGCTCCAAAATCTATCGCAGGGGGAGGACTGCTCCCCGGAAAGGGCTGCCTCCAGCAAGACGGAATACTTAACTCTGAGCTCAAGCCGAGAAAGACTGGACCCTGACCTCTCTAACAAAACCCGAAACAGGACAAGCAGAAGAATCGGGGCTCCGCCCGCCTCCCGCCTTCCCGGGCCAGGCCCCGCGGCCCCACCCCGAAGCTCCGGCTCGACCCGGTCAGGCCTACCTGCGCTGCCAGGCTGTGTGCCCCGCCCGCTGGGCCTCTAACCAGCTCCTTCCCCGGGTCGCTCACGGGGTCTGGCCTCGCCCTCTCGTCTACTCCCGGTCACTTCCGTCCCGGGAACGTCCCCACCGCGGGCGGCGTCCTGGGCCCTCGCTCTATGGTTTCAGGGACTGCAGGAAGCTGCTCTGGCCCGGGCTCTCGATGCTCGGGAGCCCGCCGAAGATATGCAGCTCCTCCCCGGCAGGAAGCAAGGGTGAGGTGCAATCCGGAGAAAACGCTTGAACTACGCCCGAGTTCCCTTTTAAACTGTATTTCTTCTTTTTTCTAGCTTGGGGCGAGGGCGGAGCCAGATCCTCAGAATCCCCACCCTTAGGTTGTGAGGAAGCAGCCGGGACATCCCCATGATTTGCATAGCCCCTGGGACGTGGCGCGGCGGGCGGTCCATTTCCGAGTTGGCGGGAACTCCAAGTCCCAAAATGCCACGGGACTTAATACGTCACTTCCGTTGTGTTGGAGGCGCACTTATTATCGAGGCTGGGAGACAGCTTGGGTTTGACGGCCATCCCCTCTCTGGCTACCTGTGCGAAAGAGGAGCCAGATAGGTGCGGGAGACCAATTGTTAGACCGAGGATTGTGTTTGGGGTAGGGAGTTTGAGCCTCGTGGAAAAGTGAACTCGTGTGTTTCTGCCTGTCCTTTCCGTAGATGGCCCAAATGGAGCTGGAGTTGGACCCTGGTGACCAGGACCTGCTGGGTTTCCTGCTAGAGGAAAGCGGACATTTGAGGGGTGCGCCCGATGAAGCTCAGGAGGCTCCGCTGGACTGGGAGCTGCCGCCCTCCCAGGTGGGTAGGGGTTCTGAGTGGCGAAACTAGAGAAGTCCCTGGGTCGTGTGTGTGTGTGTGTGTGTGTGTGTGTGTGTGTGTGTGTGTATGAGAGTCAAGGCGTTTTAATTTGTTAGAACTTTGTGCAGGAACTGAGCGACTGGGAGGTAGAAGACTTGCTGAACTCCCTGCTGAGTCCCCCACCATCACTGGACGTTCTCGACTCCTCGAACTTCTGTTCTGTCCACCACGATCACACCTACTGTCTCCCACAGGAACATGTCTCCATAGATTTAGGTGAGCATAAAATGAGTGAAATGTGGGGGAAGGAGAGGGCCTATGGGCCTGGCTATTCTTACTTTTCCTTTTTCAGACAGTGGGAGCTGTGGAAAGGAGAGGGTCCACATGACTCCGCCGCATGTGGAGGAGCCCCCAGAGCAGGTACTTGAGTTGATTTTCGGGAGGATTATTTCCATATTGCCCGGGTGGGGCCAGAATCCTCTATTCCTAACATCTTGGTGCAACTGGCTGCCCGCTTCCTGTTAACCCCAGGAGACTGCCAGGCTGATACTGACAGAGGAGGAGGAGAGGCTATTGGAGAAGGAGGGGCTTGCTCTGTCGGGAACACTTCCACTCACTAAGGTCAGACTTCACTGGTTAAGCAAAGGCTGGAGAGGGATTGCGAGTCCCAAGTAGCCAAATTCTTTTCGCTTTATATCAATATCTTGGGAAAAAAAGATGAGGTAAGAATCTTAGCAAATCTGTTGCTAATAGGAAACTGGTACAGGTCCTGATTTTGTGGGGTTTATATAAATTCTGGGATTCTTTTTAGGTAAAAAGATTTCAAACTTATCTGTATAACCGCGGTATAGGGCCTTGGGAAGGACTGTGCAGGTGAAGGGCCTTGACGTTGAAGATTTCATTGTCTTCATGGTAATCCACCTCTTGCTCAATGTTAAGTGTTTGAGAGTTCAACAGGGGTGGATCAAACAGTATATAGTAATGAATAAATACAAAATCTAGTTTTAAGTTTCCTGGAATGAATGGCAACTTCACAGGCACAGTATTGTGGCACTATGATAAAATCACCACAAACTTCAGGGAAATTTTAATTTCTAAAAAATATAAGATGAGCCACTTTGTGGTGGTGCATGCCTGTAATTTCAGCATTCTGAGAGGGTGAGGCAAGAGGATCACAAGTTCAAGCCCAGCCTAGACAACTTAGTGACACACTGTCTCAAAATAAAGAATGAAAAGGGTTGAGGATGTAGCTCAATATGAAGGCCTTGGCTTCAATCCCCAGTACAACTACAACCCCCCCCCCCAAAAAAAACCCTAACAACAAAAAAACCCTGAAGTGGGGTGGCTTAGTGTTAGAGTGCTTGCTTAGCATGTGCAATGCTCTGGACTCAATCCTTATAGTACAATTAAAAAAAAAGAAAAGTACAAGATGAGCCAGTAGTATGATGTAACTAGTAAATGGGATTTAGAAACTCTTTTCAATAGAGATGCTGCTCCTGTTAGAGGTGTTGCTCTCCTTTATGCTAGCTAGAGCACATCTTTGATACATACAGAGGATGTAATCCATCCTGAGGACAGAAGCTAAGTTAAAATTATCCAGGTTGTTTTTCTTTTTAAATTCTGAGGGCTGGGTGTGGTGGCGCATGGCTGTAATTCTGGCACTGAGGAGGATCCCTGTGAGTTCGAGGCCACCCTGGGCTATGCAGTCAGTTCAAGACCACTGAACTACATAGTGAAACCCTGTCCCCAAAAAACAAACAAAAAGCAAAAAACTGGGCTGGGGATTTAGCTCAGTGGTTCTGCTGCTTGCCTCACAAGCACAAGGTCCCGAGTTCGAACCCCAGTACCAAAAAAAAAAAAGCAAAAAACTCTTAGGAAATGTTAAAAGTGCCTTAAAATAGCTAAACAGGGTTTGTTCTCTATGGCTCCAGAGATTCTAGGTAAGACCAATGGATATAACTTACAAAGAGACAGATGTTGGTTCATGATAAGGGAATTTTAATTACTATTAATAAAATTGTAGAAAATAGTCTGGCTTGTCAGACAGAAGCTGAATGCCTATTAGTAAGGGAAGCTGTAAAAATAATTGGGAATATTTAACTTAGTTGCTTTCCAACTCTTTGATTCAATAGTCCTGATACCACTTTCTCCACCTCTCAGATGGAGGAACAAGTTCTGAAACAAGTGCGGAGGAAGATTCGAAATAAGAGGTCTGCTCAAGAGAGCCGAAGGAAGAAGAAGGTGTATTTGGGCGGTTTAGAGAGCAGGTATGAAAGAGAGGCAACAGAAAATAGTTGAAAGTGTTATACTTTAAATTTTTTAAGTGTTAAGTTTTTGGAGGGAGGATACAGCCTATATCCATTATCCCCAGGGTCTTGAAATATACAGCCCAGAACCTGGAGCTACAGAACAAAGTACAGCTTCTGGAGGAAGAGAATCTGTAAGCAACCCACCAAATCACCCTTCTCCCTCCATTTAACGCCTCCTCATTTTTTCCCCCAGCCCTACTGCATTTTACAGAAGCTCATAGTTAAACATAAATTAAATACCCAGAAAGAGGAAAGGAAAGATCTCATGAGACAGGCAGTTATCTGACAGCAGGAAGGATTGTGGAGAAAGCATTCTAGGCAGAGAGGACAGAACACAGTTGGGTTTGGCTGGGACCCTAACACAGGCAGGCTGGGTCAGAAAGTTGAGAAGACCGAGAGTGCTTGGTAAAGATTATGTGTACAGCTGATGGGGCAGTGGAGAAATACTGAAGGTACTTGCAAAGGAGTTTCAAGAGAGGGCAAAGAGCTGGGCGTGGTAACGCACTCTTGTAATCCCAGCACCAGGGGTAGGGGTGGTGTTGAGGCAGGATTGCTGAGTTTGAGGCCAGCCTGGGCTACATAGTGAGTTCAAGGCCAGGCTGGACTACATAGAGAGATCCTGTCTCAAAAAACAAACAAAACCACCCCACCCCCCAATGGAGAGGATAAAGAAGTTTGTTTTAATTAGGGACTTCAGGCATTTTGTCCACAGGGATGAAGTCATTTGCAAAAATAAGATGAAAAGAGGATGCAGGGCATAGATGGAGGATGTGGCCATAACAGTTTCACTGAGGCTCACAGTGCTGAGCCGGGGGTGCTCACTAGTGTCCTCTCTCCCGCTAGGTCCCTTCTAGATCAACTGAGGAAACTCCAGGCCATGGTAATTGAGATATCAAACAAAACCAGCAGCAGCAGCACCTGTGTCCTGGTGAGAATGGTGATGAGAACAGATCCTTTTCTCAAGTGGTGGGCCCACCAAGGGTATAATCCAGAGCCCTTCATTTTTTTTTCCTTGTACTCTTAGGTCCTACTATTCTCTTTCTGCCTCCTCTTTGTACCTGCTATGTACTCCTCTGACACAAGGGGCAGCCTGCCAGCTGAGCATGTTGGTAAGTGGCTTAAGGATATTTGAGGCATGGGTTGGTAGAGAGGCCTGGGCTTTCTGTGTTGTCTCCTGACACTTGTTTGCCTCTTCAGTGTTGTCCCGCCAGCTTCGTGCCCTCCCCAGTGAGGACCCTCACCAGCCAGAGCTGCCTGCTCTACAGTCAGCGGTACCAAAGGACAGCATAAATCAGTCGGACAGTTCTGACCTTGAGCTCCAGGTCCCTGGCAACTGTTCCTGCCTGTTGTACCACATGCCTCAGCCTTTGCAGGCTGAGCCTCCCCAGTATCGGCCACTCCTTGACCTCTTCTCAGAACCCCCCTGCCCAGGCCACATGTTTCACCTGTGGGCAAATCTCACAAGAAAGGAGAAATGGCTCCCTAACTACAGCCCTTCGTCTGTCATCTTGCAGGGCAGATATTCAGGTTAGACAGGAAGATACAGGGTATCTCAGCTATAGCCTAAGCACCCCTTCCCCATCTGTGTCCAAATAGAAAGGAATAGGAGAGGGTTGGCCTTCATTCTTGTGACATTAGGATGCCTGAGGGGTCAAACACATACATTTTGGCTTTGTGTGTCTTTTATTTGTACCCATGTATGTCTACTGTCCCATAAATGGATCTGAAGAAATCAATTGACCTCCTCCAACATTTCATACAGTGAGGGAAGAGGTAAGGAAAGAAATAAATAAGTGATTTTGATGCTTGCTTCACCCTCAGCCCCTCTTTACTGGCACAGTTGGGTGAGGAGAAGGGAGGGAGCATGATTGTCCTGTTGGCTCAGGGCTGCAGGAAGTGGGGGTAAGGAGCAAAGACCAGCCTGGAGGTTGTGATCTCGTGGTTTGGAGGGCTTACTCTGGGGTTAGGTTTGCCGAGGCTTCCTTTGGTCCACATTTAGGCTCTGTGCTTAGTCCTGTGCCCTGATTGACTATCAGACTGGAGGCTTTTTTATGCTTCTGCTGTTGCAGGGCCAGTTGCATGGCCCAGATACTCAGCGGGCGCATGTAGGCCAGTGAGCGGAATACCTGCTGCTGGCAGTATGCCTCTGGGGTCTGGAAAGCCAGGCCAAGGCGCTCCCACACAGTACGATAACAGCCTTCAGCTGTCTGGAAGCCCTCCCATGTCAGGCCCTGTAGGGAGAAATGGAAATCATATGTATAACTAACTTGGCACCATTAGACAAGTGAAGATAGCAGGGTCTCTGTCCTGAAGGAGCTCATAGCTGTCAGAGGAGATAAACTTGACCCAGTCAGAAACCTGAATGCAGGAGGTGGTATGCATACCAAGGAGAAGGGGAAGGCTTTATGGATGGGTAAGATGGCTTTCGGTTATGTCTTAAGTCTAGTGGCTGAGGAAGTTTTCTGGGCCATAGTGCAGATTTGGGATAAGATGATGGGTACGAGAGTACATTACCTCTTGGATCATGGTGGCTGCCAGGCCATAGACCACACCCACCCAGACTTCATCAGACTGCACACTGGATCTATCAGGGATACCATGGGGCTGCATTCCATTCACAGCTCCCATGGCCCCTCCAGCAAAGGACTGGACATTGAGCTCGAAGATAGTCTGGAGAGCACGGACCACATGTGTGGTAGGAAATACCTGGAGGGGCAAGGGCAAAGGCAGGGACATGGTCTTTTATACTTGCTTCCCATCTCTGGGGGAAAACCCACCTTTCTCTCTGGCTCCTTTTCCTAGTCTCTCACCTCAGTGTCTCCTTCTCCTAGGCCACAGGCCTTCAAGAACCACTGCCCAGCACACTGGTCAGACATGACACTTCGAGACTGAGGCTGAGAGCTGCTATCATAGTTGTAATAGCGGCCTGGAGTACAGGAAAGGCAAAGTAAGGCTCTTGGTGTTCCCACAGCCGCCTTAAGACTCCTCAGGTTCCCCCAACTCACCATTCCACAGCAGTCTCTCATAGGCTTCCTGGCCCCGGCTGAGGATGGAAGAAAACTTATCCTGGACATCCTGTGCCGCACATAGAACAGCCATCTGGACCGTCACAGCCACAGCTGCCAGCCACAGCCCTCCACAGTAAGCACTGATAAGGGACAGGAATTTGGGGGTCACACTGGCAGTTTTAGCCACTCCTGTGCAAACTAACAAGTAATGGGTCATTCTTTTTGAGTCCTACCATCCTTTGGTACCCCAGTTCCCCAACACAGGCCTCCTGGAAACCCCTATCCCCTAACCTGGGGCCTGTGGTGACCCATCCATCATAGGTCTGGTCTGCATAGCCACCATTCTCAATGAGTCCGTCATGGTCCTTGTCAAACTTCATTTCAGATTCCATCACGGCCTAGAGACAACCGACATACCAGAGATGCAGGTACTAAGGAAGTACAATAGCTAGCTGGGCTTTTCCCAGACACTGGCCATGCTCCTGGCATACTGGCCACTGCTCATGTATCCCTTACTAGACACACAGGCCACATGTCCTTCAGGAAGCCTTGGTCGCCCGTCAAGTAATAATCTCGATAAACTTGCAGCACAAACTTCAGGTTCAGGTCCTTCCAGTCAGCAGTATCATGGATCAAATATGCATTGACCCGGAGCCACGGCTCATCATCTGTGGGAGGGGAGAGGACCTAGTTCATTTGCATTGGTGGATAGGGTGGAGGGTGCAAAAGTTGAAGGAGGGAAGCTGACCATGGGTGTAGGGACTTTTACCTGGGTCCCCAATATCATGGGGAATGACATTTCTCCTTTTCACAGGTCCCATTACCCCACTCATCAGGTACCGTCGACGTGTCAGGTCCTCCCTGAGGGTTGCGAGAGCTGGAAAACAGAAAAGTGGGAAGGGGAAAGCAGGGAATGGGCAGGCTTGGGTGGGGCACCAAACTCTGTGACTCCAGAGGGGAAACAGCAAGCAGGATGCAGGTATGTTTGAGGGGAAGGAGAAAACAATCTGAGAGACCACTAAGGTTGAGGAGTATGGGGAGCCAATGGGGAAGAAGCAATACAACAGCTACCCTCACCCATGTCATACTGTAGGCTGAGCTCAATTTTGGGCCAGAGCATAACGAGGGCAAAGGAAGCATAAAAGTGGACATCATATGTGTTGTACATGCGATACTCTTGGCCTAGAGGAATGAAGAAGACACATCGTTGCCACAATTCCTGCTTCCTCTTCATAGTCCCCTCCCTTGCTTGTCTTTTAAAATTGAAGGTAGGGCACTGTCATTCACCTGATTGCCACTTAGCCCTTCATCCCATCAATACCCTGGAGTAGGCAAAATCTATCATCTTTCGTTATCCTAGGGCATTAACTGACCTGAAGAGTATGCCCTACTACACCCTAACCCACCAGTACTTACCCTCAAGATAGCCAAATCGACCGTATTCCCGAAGGATGGGACGAAGCTGACCCATACTTCCTACCAGCTCCTCCGGTAGGGAGTCTTCAGGAACTTCAAGCCACACTGTGCCCCCATCCGCCAGAAAGTATAGTTCATTGAATAGTGCAGATTTGTACCAGGCAGGTAAGGATCTTGGAAGTTAGGAGGAGAGAATGGTTTCATAAGTGTGACTTCGCAGGATAGAAAGGATTCTAGGGGTCAGTGGAGGGGAAGTGAATCCCAGCACAACTCTGCCGACTTTGGTGGTACACAATCAGAGTCGCACTTGGAGTGAGTGCCCAGGAGAAATATAAGAGAGGGTCCCATTGGTACCTGTCATCTAATACTGGGCTCTGCCATGCTGAGATCCTGTCTTCCCAGTCTGCATAGTGGCACAATGCGTAGTGGCTAAGGGCAGGAGCTGCATCACCATCTGGGCCAAAGAACCTTGTGTACCTCCTGGAGTGGAAAGAAAGGGAAAGGATGAGGGCCCATGCTCCGGGTCAGATCCTTAGTGTTTTGGATCCCTATATTTCTTGGTCCCCTCACCTGTAGTGGACTTGCCCCTTAGCTCCAAACATGATCCTGGGCATGTCCCAAGCCAGTGAAAACTCCAGGGAGCACCGGCCTCGAGGTGGCAGCTTGCCTGAAACACACAGAGCCCCAGCGATGCCTGCTCCTTTCTGTGAGGGGTTGCTTCGGCCTGAGAAGTATAAGAAGAATTAGAACAGCCACCTTCTTCAACCCCAGAGCTAGGGATCTCTACCACAAGAACAAGGGCTATTCAATACTAGGTCTCCCACCCCCAAGGTAGTCTTTCTTCCCAACACCTCCCAGTCAGACCCCCATCACCAGCGGGGGAGTCCAGCTGTCCATCCTGAAGTAGGTCCTGCCACACCTGGTGCCCAGTGCTGTCAGGATCAAAGGCTGTGATGTGGGTTACCGTGGAATCTTCCTGTTAAGGGGCCAAAGACTATAAGGCAAGCTCCAACATACACTGGATCCCAACTAGTTCTCCAGCTCTTACACACCCTTGCCTCCAAGTTCCAGAGGCTAAAGGGCTGTGATGAGAGTGGGACTTGGGGGAGATGGAATGAAGAGACTTGTGGAGTGGAGGTGGGTCTGGGGTCAGGCTGAGAGGAAGGGCTTAAGGTATAGGGTTGGCTCTTTCATTACCGTGAGTCGCGCAGCCACAGCCATGGTGTAAGGATTTGGAAGGGTTGGATGATGCAGCAGCAGCCCTTGAACAGTTTCCCCATCCTGCTCCAGACAGAAGGGCTCATTCCATAAACCCCCCTGGGCATCGTCTTCACCCCCCAGGCCATTTCGCATGGAGAACATGATGGATACATCCACAGCTTCATCCCCTTCGTTTTCTACATCCCACACAAAGACTCCTACAGGCAGGCTGCTGTCCTGGGGGTGAAAGAATGGACTCAGATGATAGCCTTTCTTGACTACATCCCAATTAGTCCTGGGTATGGAGGACCTATTTCAAATACTACAATATATTCTGTCTTTTACTTAGATCTCCCCATATTCCCCAGCAAACTGCCTACCAGAAGACTCAGAAGACTAGAATGAACCAGGCAGTGGTCTGGGGAGGCCAGTGTAATGATCATTGCTCCAACCCCTCCCTTTCACAATTCCTTTGGACATAGGAGGGCAATGCATGAAATAAAGGTGAACCTTACCTCGTAGTCATGGGGCAAGATGGGTGTGATCTGGCGACAAGTGAGGGTGATATTCTGGCCAGGAAGCTGATAGACAGTCCAGGCTCGGGGATAGAGGGCGTGGTAGAAAGCAAAGTAGCCACACAGGCCCCAGTTCCAGCTGTGCAGGACACTTGGACGCTCCATGGACAGAACTTGCTGGTACACAGTCCGTCCCTCCCGACGCAAGCACACTGTAAACTTGACCGAGAGAAAAGATGGGATGGAATGGAGTAACCCACAGGCACTGGTTTCTCTCTTCTCCGAGCAGCTTCTCTTCTAGAGGCTGTGATTGTCACCTCTAACCTCAGGTCATGCCCTAGGCTTTCTTCCAGGCTTAGGAAGTAACCACCAAATCCCGCTGCCTTTCCCTACTGTTGCCTAGCATATAGAAAGCCCTAGGTTCAATCCCCAGTACAAAACCAAAAAGAACCTCCAAAACACAAAAATTTGGCAGCTCCTATAAAGTAGGAGCTATGTGGGATACCTCTTCCCTTGATTCAAACTATGCCTGATGTTTTTACTGTCTGTAACTTTTTGTTGGAATAGTGCATGATGGCTAAGGCCACAGGCTTTTTACGACATAGAGACCTGGTTCGGAATCTCGATCTTTAACCAACCACATAACCCTGGGCATATTACTAACCCTCTCTAATCTTAATTTCCTCATCTGTAAAATTAACACGATAAAGGTACCTAGTAGGGTTTTTTTTTTTTTGGTACCGGGGATCGAACTCGGGTCCTTGCACCTGCCGAAACCACTGAGCTAAATCCCCAGCCCTAGTAGAGTTGTTTTTAATATTAAATATGCCAAAAGCTTAGCACAGTGCCTAGACACATTAAGCATGCAACAATTAACTGTATAGTCCATGCTTCCAGAAGGCACTTCCCCTTGGGATACCTGAGGATAAGGGAGAGGGGGATCTTGGGAGTATTATGTAGGGTCTGCAAACTTGAATCTGGAAGGACATTATCACCAGTGGGACTTAATATCTGCCAGCCATTTTTCCTCTGAAGATAAGCTGAAAGCTGGAGGCATTCCTGGCAGGATAGAAGAGCTTGATAGATAATTCAAAAAGGGAGGTCACTAGAGAGATAGGAAGAAAGACCGGCCACATACTTTTGACAACTTAAGGCCCTAATGTTATGTAGGAGGAGAGGGAAAAATAAGCTCCCTAAAAGGGAAGACAGCTAGAGGTATAAGCCTGGGAGACAGGGCCTTTTGTCCTTGAGCAGAGAGACCTCTAGCGATGTGATCTACAGCATAGGAACTGACCTTTGATTGAAAGTTCACAAATCAGGGAGAGGAGTAGTGGCAGTATACATTTTTTTCCCCGTGACTTCTAAATCTTGGGTTTTATTTTCCCTTCTAGTCTTACCAAATGTTCTTTCAGCCATGTTAAGTGACGTAGGAATTCTCTATACTATGTGGCAAATATTGGCTCAGCTAGTAGAACTAGGGCAGTGAAATAGGTAAGAGGCATTAAAAAAAAAAAAGGCATTTACTAGAGAAATGCCAGGGCTGTTTACGGTTCTAAGGAACATGTTCTGTGCATGTTGTATCCCTATAGTATATCCCAGCACAGGGCTAGGCACACAGAAAGCATCCTGAAAGCACTTATTGGCTTGAGTCATACGTATATCTAAATGCCAAACTCCACACCAGTCAAGAAGCATTCTTTGTCTGGGGCTGTCTACCTCCTGGCTCTTACCTGGTCAGCGATAACTGTCTGGTGCTGGTATATTCCTGGGTTAAGCTGCCAACGACAGAACTGGCCTCTCCAGCCACGGGTAATAGTACCTCCACCAATGCCACCCAGGGGACAACCTAGAGACAGAATCAGGATGATTAGTAGGGTATGGGGAGAGGAAGAAAAGCCCATTTCTCACTTTCTAGACTATAGATTGGTTCCTCTAAAAACCTAGGGACAGATCAGTGCAGTGTGCATAAACTATGTGGCAGATCTAGAGTTTGAACCCTCTGAGCATGGCAGAGCTGGGGTGAGGCTCACCATAGATCTGTCTCAGGGGCACACAATTGATCATATCGATGAAAGGTTTCTTCTTTTCCACCTGGGTCTTCCGGTACCACCACTTCAAGTACCTGAGGAGCAAAGTGGCAGTGTGAGTACAAGGTGGTGGGTGGGTAGTTCTTCACAGGCTGCAGACTCCCGCCTCTTTTTTGTGTGTGTGGTACCGGGGATTGAACTCAGGACCTTGTGCTTGCCAGGCAGGTGTAGTGCCACTGAACTAAATCTCCAGCCAACCTGCCTCTCTCTTGACAACCAGCTGTGACCTCCCACTGAATAATATCCCAAGGATAAGACCCCTTCATCTTCCCACTTGCTCCAATGCCTTTTGTTTCCCCTCTTTATTCTCCTCAGAAAGAGCTTTATGATCTTTCCTTTCCAGACTCAAATACCGCTGGTTTAGTTCAAACCTCAAGAGCTTTTGTCCGAGGTGCTGAAAGGGTCAGGTATACTTCCCTTGCCTACATTCTCCACTGCCCACAACCCACCTCTTAAATAGGTACAGGCTGCTGAGATGATGTTCTTCTTTTCAAAATAATTAATTTTCTTTCTGGTTATGAAAGGCTAAAATCTAGAGAATACACCAGGTAGAAAGAAAAGAAAATTTCACCCAAAGTGAAGCAGTGTTTACATTTCAGGCCATTTCTTAAGTCTGTAAGCTTTCAGACTTTGCTCTTTCATAATATCCCTATAACGCCTAAAAAAAATATCCAAAGTTTTCCTGGTCTAGCTCCTGCCTTGTATCCAACAGGTAAGAGATTGTTTCCAATAGGTAAAATGGTTCTGTTTTTAAGGCTAAGGCATCTGCCCCCACCTGCTCTCTTTTTCCTACAAATTCTCATCCAGGATGGGTTCTCACTAAGCAAGCTCTGCTCTGGTGGACTTTTCCCCATTTCCACTCTATTCCCAACCCAATCATTTTATTTTATTTTATTGTGGATTTTTGAGACAGGGTCTCTCCGCCATGACCCTCACAGCATAGGGTCCGAAGCCAGGGAGACTGACTATCTAGTCTATGGAGGAGAAAGGGAGTAAGGAGGAGGCGAAGGACCATGTTCAGGCTCGGCCCGAGGCATCTCTCTATATAGTTAAGGCTGGTCTTGAACTCATTATGTACCCCAGGCTGGACTTGAAACTTGTAGTGATCCTCCTGCCTCAGCCTCCTCCCAAGTGCTGGGATCACAGGCGTGTGCCACCACACCCTGCTCTACTCAATCATTTTAGAACCAATGCTCAGTCACACCACTTGTAACCAACTACAGTAATTAGGTAAGCCTTTGAGCCTCAGTTTCCTCATTTACAAAATGGGGATCCCTCCTGTCCTAGCTATCATGGAATAGCAGAAACATCTGATGACATAACAGATAAGAAAGCCATAAAGTGGAATACCTGTGACATTCACAATTAGTACTTACTATCTCAATTCCTAATCAAACAATACTTCTTTATTTCAACATTCCAAACTCTTTCCTTGGGGAAAGAGTAACAAAGACTCTGAATGTTACCCTCAGCACAGGGCAGAACACTCTGCAGTACATAAATATTTGCTTAATTTACAATTGAAAGAAGGTACAAATAATGGAACACAGCAATGGTAGGCTGGAGCAACCAGAGGGAAAATGTGATTAAAGAATAGGGACAGTAGTTTTGTAGTAGATGGGGTGGGGCTTGGGGCAGAGTAGGGCAAAAGGTGAGACGTTGGGGAACAGTTTCTCTTTGACAGTTTAGAGAAAACTGGACTTTGAAACTAGAGCCCAGAAAGGATTGGTGGTGGAAAGCCAGGTTTAGGGTAGCCAGAGAGAAGAAATGCAAGATAAGAAGTTAGAACAAAACAACTATTTGGGATAGAGCAAGCACTCAGTATTTACTGAATGAAAGGACCCTGGCTAAAGGGAGAATAATAAAAACGAGCTCTTACCAAGTCTAGGCCCAGAAAACTGTCTTGCTGGAGCTCTTGTTTGGAGTGCCCCCATTTCTGCTCCCTCTTAAGTGCTCTCTGACACACTAAGCCACTAATTAGCAGCTGGCCATGCCTGACCTATAGGCCTTCTCCATAATTTCAACCCCAACTCAAGAATTATCATTCCAGATGCTTCTTACCTCTGCTTTCTCAAAGCAGGACCTCATTCCATCTCAAAAGGTCTGTGTTAATGATTCCCACTCTATGCTGGTCCAGGGGGCTAAGCAACAGCTTCAGGCTTCTGTAACTCAACTCATTCTGGGGGTAAAATGCTAGGATGCCTACTTGGTGCTGACCTCACTATCCCTACCACATGTACCTCTCTGGGCTTCTTCAGCACCCTAGATCCCATTTGGACCCACAGGTCTTTGGGGTCAAAGTTGGACTTGGTCAGTTTCAGAAGCAGCCTGGAAGGATGATTCTCCTTTGGTACAGGCCATCCACAGGCAATAGCAAAGGAGCCAGACATTCAGGCAGCACCGGGCTCTTCCCACTTCCCAGGGGTGGGATTAGGTAAATGGTCTTCCCATCACAGCCCCTCAGCACTGACTTGGGAAGTGCAGGGTCCCTTACTGTAGGAGTTGTCAAGCCTGACTTTCTCAACCTTTGCCTCCCTCCCCAGCTTTGTGTTTACTCCGTGGACTGACTCAGGATGACTTGAGAGTGATGCTTCCTGTCCTCACATCCATTTGTTCCTGTTACTAGGTATGGCTCCTAGTCTTTGAACTTAGCGGGTCCAGAGGGTTTCTATAGCCCAAGATAAGCTCCTGAGGCATTTGTAGCCTTTGGAGGTGGGGGAAGAAGCCAGGGCAGCCTCTGTAAAACTATTATTAAGAGCTCTGGGGGGCCAGGGATTTAGCTCAGTGGTTTTGCCACCTGCTCCGCAAGCGCAAGGACCTGAGTTTGATCCCCAGTACCAAAAAAAAAAAAAAAGAGCTCTGGGGACATCTATGGCAGTGCCTACCTGGTCATCTGTGGGGGACTAGGGATATAGCTCCAGCACTTCTATCTACCACTGAGCTATGCCCTGACCTTACTTTTTTTGAGGCCAGATCTCATTATGATATCCAGGCTGGCTCCAAACTCCAGGCTCAAATGAGCCTACTACCTTCCCTACAGATGCTGGGATTACAGGTGCATTACCACCAAGCTCAACTCCATTTTTGCTTTCCATATCAGGAGCTGTCTCTCCCAGGATAGAGTGGACCTCTCCTCACCTCCTCCTTAAGAGTCGACAATAGGTAGGTTCTTACCTATTCCCTGCAGCTAAAGCTTGAAGACAGACCCAGATGAGTAACATCATATGGTTAAATAAGGTACAAAGAATGCTTCAGCTGCTCAGAGAATTGGGCTGAGAATGCCCCCCCTCAAGTAAAGTACCGTCAGTACCACAACAGGGGTACTAGCCTTTCATACCTTGCCAAAATGATAAGTTAATCCCAAAGGGAAGTCTTTGCAAGAAAAACCAGTACATAAGAGGGATCTCAAATGAGAAAGGTTAACCGCGGGACCAAATATTTCTACTCTTTTCGGATGAAAAGATCCTGGAAGCAAAATAAATGTGATTTGGCCTCATCCTTCAAAACCACAGGCCTAAAACATGCTGGATATGGGGACTACTTGCTTTTCCCACTTTTAGAAGTCTTCCAATAGAACAAAGTGAAGTCCAAGGCATTCTAAGCAATAGGTTCTACTCACCTGATACCCATGCCCAAGTGCTTTACCAGGTTGCTTAGGGAGATATTGTTAGCTTGAAAGGGTTTCCTCTTCTCTGCAAACTCGTGAGCCAGGCAGATGCGCCAACCAAAGGAAGGCACCTGGTAGCCCCTAGCTTTACCCTCATAGGAATCCATCAGCTGCCCAAAGTCTTCCGGACTGCAGTAGCTTGGTTCATTTTGGGGTCTAATGTCCTCAAGGATCTCCCGGTGTGTAACCCGCACAGCCGCGGTGCCTCCAGTATCTTTAGGGCAATAAACTTGTGGATAACCTTTGGCACAGCTGATCTGCTCCGACGCTGGCACGTCGGTTCCCATGTTCTCTGGATCCTGGGTCCCCAAGACCTCGATGGCACTAGGTCCCGAGCCTTCTGACACAAAGTATCTCGCCAGCCAAGTCCAGATAAGAGCGCCGGTTGTAGTTCAAGAGGGTCAGACGCTGGGCTAAGCTGAGGTGAGCTGGTTTCAAGGTAGAGCCGGGGAGCTCTCGCCGCAGTGGCAGTGGAGACAGCAATAAAGCCGCCCGGCGCTCCCCTTCGGTCGGGTCTGTAGGTTCAGGGCGGGAAAGGTTGGGCCTAGTCGTCATTGGGCTGTGATAAGAGCTTGCCTGGCCAAAGGCCGACAGGGACAGCGGAGAGGGGAGGAGCCGCGGGGCCAGCCCTCAAGGCCCCGCCCCCGGGACGGCCCGGAGCCGGCAGCGGCCTCGGCCCCTCCCCTGGGCCGCAGCACCAAGTCCCCCAGGGCTGGGGGCCAGGTCTCGCCGGCCGGGGTCCCGGGCAGCGCCGGCGCCCAGACGCCACTCTCTGGGACAGTGACCTAAGGCGCAGGGGCCACCCGAGCCCCTTCCGGTCGGAAGCATCCGGCGGGCCGGACCGGAAAGAGCTCTGGGGGCGGGGAGGAGGACTGAAAGGAAATCCCGCCTCTGCCGCGCCGCTGAAGCTGCGGACGCCGCGGTTTACCTGGCTCTGTCCGGGAGGGACAGGGAGGTGAGGGCCTCGGGACAGTGAGATTGAGGTTTCGACCGCGCCAGGTAACGGACGGCCGTGTTCTTGGGCCGGGGGCGTGGAGCTTTCAGGGAATGCGGGGTAGAGGCCAGCCTGAGAACTCGGGGGGTAGGGGAACTAATCTCGCGCTGAGGGGAGCGGAGGACTGGGCCTACAAGCGGTACTCTCTCCTTGGGGGCCGTACTGAGTCTGCAGAGCCGCGTCTCTCTCATCCGCTGACTCCACAAATCCGGGCTTGCCTTCCGTCATCGAAGTGCTGTTCCTCGCCCCATCCCCCCAGGTCGCCCGAAGTTTATAAAGAAAAGCCGTATCATTTGGTCTGGGACCTGACCCTAGTCACACCCCTTGGTGCTCGCCTAAGATACTCCCACTTTTCTGTGGTACTGACCTCCCATGCCCCATGTTTCCTTCTAGATCTGATTCCGGAGCTGCCATGATTGAGGTGGTAGCAGAGTTGAGCCGGGGTCCTGTATTTCTGGCGGGGGAGGCGCTGGAGTGTGTGGTGACCGTCACCAACCCTTTACCTCCTACAGCCACTTCTGCATCCAGGTGAGGATGCTGATACTGAAGGTGTTGGCCCTTGGGAGGCACCCTGGTATTGCTGGTGCTAAGCCAGAGGTGAAGTTGTCTTGTAACTACACCTTCTTGCTCATTGTGCCCTCATTATAGGAAAGGGTTATTTAACAGAAGATGTGGGTAACAAAGCTCTCTCTTTTCTTTCCTGACCCCGCCATTCCCTTTTGTATCCACTATATATTCTTCTTTGTTTAATGGTTTCTCTTTGAGGGTTCTAGGTTTCCTGATCCTAGGATAGCCACCTAAATTTGTTTGGTTTATCACACAATGTAGTAGGGAGTTTGAGAAATCATTTGTGAGGTCAGGAAGTATCCTCTGATGTCTCCTTTTCCTCTTCCCACAGTGAGGCCCTGGCCTGGGCCAGTGCACAGATACACTGCCAGTTCCATGCCAGTGAGAGTCGAGTAGTGCTGCCTCCCCCTGACTCTAGTCAACCAGATGTCCAGCCTGACAGCCAGACTGTCTTTCTGCCTCACCGAGGTTAGAGTTAGGGCATTTGGCTTGGGAAGGGCTGTGGTGGGGTCTTTGTCACCTAACAGTGAAATTAAGTTGTTATTATGTGTCATAGCCTTGGTCACATGAGGGATGGAGGTGGGACGTAACTATTGTTTTGAGAGTGTAAGACTCTGTTTCCATGTCACAAGAAAAGAGAAATTGGCAGTTCTTCACTGCCTTCTGTTAGTGGGCTGGCCTTGTCAAGTATTGGACAATGGAGTCATTAAATTGCAGTTTTTCTTACTTTTTGTAGGCGAAAGGGGTCAGTGTATCCTTTCTACCCCACCAAAAATTCTATTTTGTGACCTGAGGCTAGACCCTGGAGAATCAAAGTCATGTGAGTGACTGTCCCCAGCCCTGAATTGCCTTTTAAGTCTCCTGGAGGGAGGATGCCTCTGGCTGCCTCTACCTGCCCTGACTACTGCTTCCTAACCAGACTCCTACAGTGAAGTGCTGCCCATAGAGGGACCACCCTCCTTTCGCGGTCAGTCAGTCAAGTATGTCTACAAATTGACCATTGGCTGCCAGCGTGTCAACTCACCCATCACTTTACTCAGGGTTCCTTTGAGGGTTCTTGTGCTGACTGGTAAGTAAGGGTTCCTGAAGGGAAGGGTTGAAGTAGAGCTTTGCCAACACAGAAATAGTCTAGAGGGCTTGCAAGAAGAGCTGCAGGGAGGCTTCCTGGTCTTTGGGAAGGTGCTAGGGAACTGGGGAGGGAGGGAGGCTTCTGGAAACTGGGTTGAGATCTAGATCTCAGCCATACCTCTCCCCATGCCTTCAGCACTCTTAAGTTGGAATTTAACCCTACTGTTTATTTTCTTTTCTGTCTCTTCTCAATGTTCCCTCTCTTTTCATTCTTTCTAGGCCTTCAAGATGTCCGGTTTCCCCAGGATGAGGCTGTAGCCCCATCCAGTCCATTCTTGGAGGAGGATGAAGGTGGGAAGAAAGATTCATGGCTAGCTGAGCTGGCTGGGGAGCGTCTCATGGCTGCTACATCCTGCCGAAGCCTCCGTGAGAATCTATTCAGAATTGCCTCACCCCTTTCCTTCCCTCAAAATATTCCTTTTTTTTTTGGTACCGGGGATCGAACTTGGGTCCTTGCACTTATAGGGCAGGAGGCCGAACCACTGAGCTAAATCCCCAGCCCTCTCAAAATATTCCTGAGAGACAGTTTCCTAACTACCGTATAATTCGGTGGATCCATTCATATCTCACCCCAGATTATAAGGAAAAGTCCACCTTTTGGCCCTTGGGACCCAGTCCTAAACATTCTGTAATGTAGACTCCAGGCTTATTGTGTCTTATTCTCTCCAGATTTATACAATATCAGTGATGGCCGAGGGAAAGTTGGGACATTTGGCATCTTCAAATCTGTGTACAGGCTCGGCGAGGATGTGGTGGGGACCTTAAACTTAGGAGAAGGAACTGTAGCTTGTTTGCAGGTGAGAAGGAAAGAGCTCCTGGGGTGCTGGGCGTGAAGGACTAGGGTGAAAGGAGGGCCTATGTAAAGAGGGGTAGTTTGGAAAAGTGGATAGCGTGGTCATCTGGGGTCCCTTTGGGGAAATAGCTTGAAGTCGGGGTACTCTCTCACCTAGAGTCTCTACTTCCAAAAGCCTGCCAGCATGCACCTCTCTTCTTGCTCCCAGTTTTCAGTAAGCTTACAGACTGAGGAGCGTGTACAGCCTGAGTACCAGCGGCGCCGTGGGGCAGGGGGTGCCCTCTCTGTGTCCCATGTGACTCATGCCCGGCACCAGGAGTCTTGCCTACATACAACTAGAACCAGCTTCTCTCTCCCCATCCCTCTCAGCTCCTCTCCAGGCTTCTGCACTGCTGTTGGTAAGATCCTGATCATTATTGGAGAAGGGAGTGGGGGGAGGTAAAATACTGTGCTTCGGAAGAGCGTAATGGGTCCTGATTCCTACTATACTGCCAGATGTGCCCACATCCATCCTCTGACACTTTCTCAGAGCTTCAGGCTTTAACCCCATTTCATAGATGCCCTGACCCTCTAAACTCTTTTAACAATTTTATAGAACTCTTTGCCCACTCCTACCTTCTGGAACTCTGTGATGCACTGATATTTGATTCCTTAGTACATTTACTTCAAGCTATCAATTTTGACTATCCCACTCGAGTTATTAGGTAGTTAACACTACTGTCCTTAATTCTGGTTAATACAGCAGATTTCTTTAAAAAAAAGAGAAAGTCCTTGATCACAGTTCCCTGCCCTGGGACTGTCTCTTTTCCTAAATACATTTCTCATTCACTAACCATATCCTGTCATTGGCTTTTATTCTTGCTATTTTCTAATGCCTCAACCTCTATCTTTTTCTTCCACAGTGTCCTTGAAGTGGCAATTACATTTTGAATTTGTAACATCTCGAGAACCAGGATTGGTACTGCTGCCCCCTATGGAACAGTCCGAACCTGCCACCTGGACAGGTCCTGAGCAGGTGCCTGTAGATACCTTCAGCTGGGAGCTCCCCATCAAAGTGCTGCCTACAAGCCCCACTCTGGCCTCATATGCTGTCCCGGGCCCCAGCACCAGCACCATAACCATCTGAAACTGGCCTACCTGCCCACGATGGCACTGGTTTCTTCAGGATACTAAGAATTCCATACTTCAACTCTGATAAGGCCCACTTTTTCCACTTGGGACCCAGTGGCACAGACAGTGGGAGGCAGACTTTCAGCTGTAGCATTAATTTATTTATTCAGAATAAATTGGCAGCTGCTAGTGGTTTCCCTGGAAGTGGCAGCAGCAGTGAGCAGTCAGCAGATGGATGATCAGGTGAGTCTAGCTGGAGTGGGGAGCAGGAGCCCCAGGAACAGGGGTGTTAGCTGAGCCCCACTCTAGGTCGGGCCCTCCGCCTTTGCAGGGTAGCCGAGGATCAGATTTTTGCACCAAGGAAAATTGGCAGGTTCCTGTCTCCTGATGAACCTCACATCCAGCAGGGAAGTCAATGGGATGCTGAGACCTGAGGAACCAAGGATGGGGAGTCAGCACAGTGAATGATCACCTTTATAGGCCCCCGTACCCTCCCACAGTTGTCTTCCCATGTCCTACTTTAGTGTCCCCTGCTCCTCCTGACTAAGTTCTTACCTACTATATAAAAACTTTAGTTTTGTAGCAGGAGTATTTTCCTCCAGATCCACCTCAGGCTCCTTCACTGTGTAGCCTGAAGGCTTATCTTTCTCACTCTTGTTGCTACCTGCAGGTCTGGCTAGTCTCATACTTCTCCCTGTTCATTCTTACCTCACAGCAGTGCAGTCACTCCCTGGCCATCCCTCAGTAAGTTACATCAGAGGCGTTCCCTCGGGTCATTCTTGGTTACTCACGTGTCGCAGCAGCCCACACCGACAGGATGCAGACAGGTGCAATGGAAACAGTCCTTGCGGAGCCAAGACTCACCCAGGGTGAAATATTTCCCCTCATAATGACAGGGAGCTGGGGAACAATGAGTAGTGTTAGTGGGTGTGGGAGTGGTGGTAGCAGACAAGTCTCTTCTGGTCTGGGGTGGGAGAGAGTTGGTGCATACTAACCCCATGATTAGTCTTTCCTGTTTCACAGTTGGAGGGAGTCAGGGTATTCTGACAAAGGATCACCTCCAATCCCTTGCTGCCACTCTCGCTGCCCCCCCCACCTCCTCCAACTTCTCAACCTTTCCTAGCCCCTCACTCCACTTTACCTTGAGCTTGGAAGTAACACTTGCTGTGGACTGCTGGGTACTGCAGGAGTAGAGACACCAGCAAGAAGATGATCCCCCAGCCTCCTAGGGTCCCCTTGGCCTGTCCAGCCCAGAGCATTCTTAGGGCCATTTCTGTGGCACAGCCTTCTCGGACCCTTCTTAGCTTCTATTCAGGCTACTCTGGTCTTGTCCTTATGGCTTTTCTTCAATTTGCTCCTTGAGTCTTAGTTTCTTTCTCTCCCTGGCTTCTGTCTCACACCATCTCCATGCCTTCTTGCACAGGCTGAGGATGTTTATAAAGTGAGGACCCTGGCCCCCTGCTGAGTTTAGCTGGAAATGCTGTAACTGTTTCCTGAGGTGAGGGCATGAAAACAAGAGGTCCAGCTTTAACAAGCTGTGAGAGCTGATTCATACCCCTGCACAGTCTCCGCACAGCTTGAAGGAGGGCGGTGGCCATGGAGGAGGCACTGGACTGGGCACTTCCCCAGCAAGGAGGTGGGACGGATGCAGGCCCCATGTGGTGCCCAGATCTCCCTGACCTGGAGAGAGGAAGCATTCTACCACCCCCCACCCCCCCAGTACCACAAGGGGTGTGTGTTGGGATCCCTGCCTGAACCAGAGGGAGGCATTTCCTGAGGATGGCTAATTCTGTGCCCTAGCCAAACGAAGGAGCTGCAGCAGGGTGCAGTAGCCAGAGGCTCCAGAAGAGTGAGCATGCACCTGGAGTGCAGTGTTTCCCTCAGATCCTGGGCAGGGTTTCCCTCTTGGCATCTGAGAAACAGGGCTGCTTTCCAAAGATGGGAAGGGGGTTTCTTTTTTTCCTCAGTCATCCCAGAGATCAACTGTCCATTGTTTATCACCCTCAAACACAAAATGTATACAAGATTGTCCTTGGCTTGGGATGTTTCTGTGCTCCTTTGAAAGAGGAGCATCTCTAAACCCCCAAAAGGGGGATCCATCACCAGTTTCCCAGGAATCAGTCACCAGTTTCCTCATGATGGAATTTAGGAATTTATCCTACTTTTGAGTCTCCTGCAGGTTTTGGATTACCTACAATGGTGACTGAGAGCAGAGGCTATAGAGTCAGGCTACTGGGGTTCAATTCTGACTCCACTTCCTAGCTATGTGACCTTAGGCAAATTACTTCACCTCTCAGGCTGTTTCCTTATCTATACATTGGGAACAGAAATGCCAACTCAGAGAATTGTTATGAGGTAGCACATGGACTGCTCTCTGCACTATTTCTGACACATATACCCCTCAGGAAAGATTAGCTACTGTGATTGCTGGTAAAACTCAAGAGACAAAATGGGTGGCATTTTTTGTTTGTTTGCTTGAAAGACACCAAGCAATTTTGTGTGCACAGCTGAGGGTTTCTGTTGGGGACTCTCCTGGCTGACTTGGGTCTCCTTCATACCCATGCTCCATGCTACCCCTACCATATCCTTCAAAAACAGATACTGTCAGGAGCATTTTGGTTTTTGTCCATATATTCTTGAACTCTGAATTTGGTTTGAGAAATGAAGTTGCTGATCTGTGTGCTTTCCTCACACCAGTACCAGCACCTCTGCCCTGGGAAGAGGTATCATTTTCTAATCTTCTATTTTTGTTAGCTGTTTTGTTTTTTGACACAGGGTCTCATTATGTAGTTCAGGCTATCCTTGAAGTCACTGTGTTGTCCAGGCTGGCCTTGAACTTGAAGCAATCCTCCTGCCTCAGCCTCCCGAGTTGTGAGATTACGGGCATTTGCCACCATTCCTGTCTTCTGATCCTCTTTCCAGCCAATTTTAGTTACTTTTTTTTTTTTTTTTTTGCTTTTTGGGGTTTTTTTTGTATCGGGCATCAAACTCAGTCCCTGTGCTGGCGAGGCAGGTGGCGGCACCACTGAGCTAAATCCTTGTCCCCTGCTTTTTAAAAAATTTTTTGGTGCTGAGAACCAAACCCAGGGCCTCATGCTTGCTAGACAAGTGTTCTACCACTGAGCTAAATCCCCAGGCCCTAACTTTTGTACTGTTCCTTTCTCATTAGAATTCTGATCCACTTCCCATCCCCACTCACATGAATTCTCAAGTTTGTTCTCTCTCTCCCTTTTTCTTTTCTTTTTTTTTTTTTGTGTGTGTGTACTGGGGATTGAACACAGCGCTACACTGTATTCACACTGAGCTACAGCCCCACTCCTTTTATTTTGAGACAATCTCACTAAATTGTCTGGGCGGGGCTTGAACTTGCAGTTCTCCTGCCTCAGCTGAGAATGCTGTTATTACAGGCATTTACCACCATGCCTGGCTCACTTCTCCCATCTGACCCAGTCTTGGCCATATTTTTGGTGCAACAGTCCCTGGTCAAACTGGATTTATTTTTCTTTTCTGTACTTCAGAGGACCATGTACCAGCTATTCCCCTCCCACCTACAAGGCCAATCACTTGGGCATTTATTCTCTTCTTAAGTTTACTCTCATTTACTGCAAGACTCACTGCCTACTGCATCGTGCATCAAATACAACTACTTCTGGCCTCCTTTTGCAGAGAGCTATCCTGTTTGTCACCTCTTCCTTCAGAAACCACTGTCAGTGTACGACAGACTCTTTGGACGTCCTCTTTCAAGATACCCTTTCCCTTTCAAAGGAGTCCCAAGACAGGAAAATCCATTTGTATAAGGGTGGCCTGAGGTAGGCCAGTGTCTAGCACAGAGATGCAGACGTCTCACCAGTGGTCTGTAGCTCCATTGCTGCCTTTGGGCAGAGGGGGAGGTGGGTGTCCATTTGACACCCAGACCACTGGGCTGTGGAATGTCTTTTTCTGCAACCTGGGGGCGGGCCTGAGTGGGGAACTGGGGAAGGCAGGTGATGGTGATAGAAGGTGGTGGGGAGCCCTTTGGCTGTGGGTGTGTGTGTAAGGGTTAGCCACCTGGAAGGGAGATGATTAGGTCTGTGGAGGTAGGTGTGTAGGGAGGCTTCAGGGAAGGGAGAGGCTGAGCTGAGCAGGGATTCCTCTCCCACATTTGGGGGTCCGGGAGCGGCACAGAGGTGTTGGGTGACCACGTGCGAGTTCTTAATGCAAGTGTAGGGGTTGTCAGTGGTTAGGGCCCAGCCTAAAGTCCCGGGAGGAGAGGCTGTTTGGGACTCCGGTGGCCGCAGGGTGGGAGGAGCGGCTGGCGTGCACTGCTTTGGGATAAGGAAAACATCCGCCGGAGGCCTGGCTGGGCTGCCCTCCAGCGGCCCAGGCAGGTTCTTGGGGCGAGGAAGTGAGTGCATTCCGGTCCCCCCAGGCTGGCAGCTGCCGTCCACCTCCTATGAGTCACCTCGACCCCCACCTGCCCGCAATGGGAGGCAGAGTACAGCGACCTTGGGGGATCCTAGGGGGAAAAATTATATGATAGAGGGGTCAGTGAGGGGCCTCTATCTTACTGCACCCAAAGCACGCCGAATATGTAAGTTTGTCGTGGAATGGAGGTGGGAGGGGAGAAAGCCTCTGGAAGAATCTTGAGGGTAGGAGGAGGCCACAGGAAGATCGCACGGAGAGGGAAAGGGGTCTGTGGAAGTGGGGTGGGAGAAGCCAAGAAAGGAAAGTGGAGCGCTCTTGGCCTGGAGTAACAGGAAGGAAAACGTCCAGGTTAGGCTTTCGAGAGCAGAAACTAATGCAAGGAGAGATTCCCATCAAGTGGCCAATTGGCTACTTGCATCATGAGATCTGTCCAGAGGTCTCTTTGGACAGCAGGGTAGGTTTTAGGGAGTAGTGGGAGTTGGGCTATTTGGGTACAGCTGTGGCTAGGTTATCAAAGGTTTTCATTGTGGAGATGAGGGATTCTGATTTGGTCTTGCAGGTAGCATGCAGCAGTAGTAGGTGGTTTATAAGCCGGGTATTCTCCACACACTGGGAAGCTGGGGAGTTCAGTGATTTATCAAGACCTTGTCTCAAAATTTATAAAGTGCATGGCAGGAGGTGGAGGGGGGAACAGGGTGGGGGGGAGTCTGGGGTTGTAGCTCAGTGGTAGAACTCCCCTAGGTTGAACCCCCAGTATCAGTGACAGGGTTACTCCCAGTAACCGGGTTATTAATCTAGCATCACTGTCCGCTGGCTTTTGCCCCCCACCCCAAAATACTGATGTGCTCATTTTTATGGTAATTTAAAATTGCATGGTTCTACCTATCATGATTTAAGTAATTTTGTTGAATTTTAAAAGCTAAGTTGAAATAAAATTTGAAAAGTTGAAAATCTGATTCAATATTTGTTTTAAAACCTAAACTCAGGCAATTGAGATTAGTTATGTGATGTTGAAACTGTTACTGTTGTGCCAGATTTTCCTTACTGACTAGACCCTATTCCTATCAGGGCCTCAGTTCTTGGATGTCTGTAGCATACCCTTTCTGCTTCATCTTATTTCTATTCTTGTTTTTTTTTGGAGACGGGATCTCACTATGACTGTGTAGCCCAGGTTGGCCTCCAATTCACGGTAATCCTCCTGCCTCGCAGCCTCCCTAGTACTGGGATTACAGGCTTGCTCACTACTTGCTGCTATTGCCCTTTTGTTGTTGTTGTTTTGGTACCAGGAATTGAACTCAGGACCTTGGCTTGCCAGGCAGGCACTGTGCCACTAATATTGATCTATTTTTAACCATAGCTTTTCCCTGCCTAGCTTTTTTTTTTTTTTTTTGGTACCAGGGATTGAACTCGGGACTTTGCGCTTTTGAGACAGGCGGCGGAACCACTGAGCTAAATCCCCGGTCCTTCCCCTGCATAGCTTTTAACTTGCTGTTTGTATCCTGAAACATGTAAAACATTTCTTGGGCGGGGTCACTGGGTTCCAGTGTACAAGGACAAGTAACTCAAAATATATGTTATGATGCTTACTATCTTCTGTGGGAGGGTAGCTATAAAGTTTATTTATCTGATGGCTGATAAAGAGAAAGCTATAGCTATTTAATTCATCATAGTGTTTGTACAACATTGCAATTTGTTAGTGTGATTTCTAAAATGGTACTTGATTCTTATCTCAAGAGATGGACACTAATTGCCATGATTCTTATAATTTGTGCTGTTTTGGGCCAAAGGCAATTTTAAAGATTAGAATACTTACAGTGTATTTTAAACATCCTTAAACTCTACAGTTGGTTTTGTTTCCAAATAAGAAAATCTGGGTCCGTTAATGAAGAAAGAAAAGATTTTCTTCCTGGGCCCTGTTGCTTTCCTGCTGTTTTAGCCCCAGCCCTGCCTTATTCCCAGTGACTTTGCTTTCTTATTTATTCTGCTGGGCATCTTTAGAGGAAAACTTCACACCAACTTCCTCTACTATAAATTCTCTCCCTCTTTTCATCTCTACACTTTCTTTGCCAACGTATACCAATACTTCTTCACTAAGCCCACAGTCCTTTCTGGCTGTTTTCTGTCTCAACACTCTGCTGTTGAAATTCTCTCTTCCTTTGATGAGATGTCGGGTTTTTAAAAGGCTAGGCTTCAGTGTATTCTACTTCTGTTTCCTTCCTCTTGTATACCTTTTCCATATTCTGTTTCTAAACTGTTATGCTTGATTTCATCAAAGCTTTAACCTTTTTCTTGTGTTTAAAATTTTCCTAAATACAGTAAAAAAGATGCTATGTTTCCATTACTTTTCCTAATTTTTTTTTTTCGGTACCAGGGATCGAACTCAGGACCTCGATGCTTGTGAGACAGGCGGCAAAACCACTGAGCTAAATCCCCAGCCCTACTTTTTCTATTTTTTTGTTTGTTTGTTTGTTTTGTTTTTGGTACCAGGGATCAAACTCAGGTCCTTGAGCTTGCGCAGCAGGTGGTGAAACCACTGAGCTAAATCCCTGGCCCTCTACTTTTTCTATTTTAAAAGGGTCTCAATTTCACATCTTCTTTGGTGTCTTCTTCCAATATTCTGCATCCAGAAACATGACAGGGCCATAATTGTAAAGTCCACTGAGTGACAATTTAGGGTTGGTGTTGTGCTAGGCATTGTATAATTGTATAATAAAGTTTATAATCCTGGTGCCAGATTCCTAAATGCTTACAGACAAAAGATACTGTCATACCTGTGTGCATGAATGTTGTCCACACAGATAACAGAACTAAACATATATTTACATATATATTCATATTCATTCTGGGATTCCTCCACCCCAGGCCTTTTAAATTTTTTTATTTTGACACAGGGTCTTTCTAGGTCACTAAATTTCCCAGGCTGTGCTTGAACCTATGATCCTCCTGCCTCAGCTTCCTAGAGTGCTGGGATTACAGGTGGGCATCAACAGGCCTGGCATGGCAGCTCTTTAAAGATATAAAATTATTATATTTTTGTTACTTATTTTTCTAAGTTTTCTCTTTACTCCACCACTGTCCAATAGAACTTTCAGCTATGATGGAGATGTTTTCTGCCTGAGCTGTCCAGTTGGTAGCCAGTAGACAAATAATGGCTTTTTAGTATTTGGAATTTGGCTAGTGAGACTGAGGAACTGAATTTTAAATTTTAATTTGGCCAGATGAGATGAATGGCTACTCTGTTAGTGCAGCTCTAAGCCATCTGGGGATTAGTATCCTGTCATACGTTCTTACCTGCTACTTCAGAAATCTTATATGGTAAAAATGTGTACTCTTGGATTGATCTGGAGGCCAGACTCACATTAAAGAATGGAGAAAAAGGCCCAAACCCTACTACCAGAGCACTGATGAGTAATGTCAATTTTTACTGAAGTTTTCTTAAAAGGAGGAAAAATAATGATTATATCTCACATCCCATATCCCAAAAGCAGAACTTAAAATTAAATACCTTCCTTGAATTTCTCTTTCACTAAAGTCACATTCCCTAATTGCTCCAAAACCTTTCCTTTTGCTTTCCCCCTTTTTCTCAAAAACATTTCTTTCTCTTTGAAGTTTACTCACCCATTTTCTTTAAGCACCCACCTCCATCTGTCCTCTTCCCCCAAGAGAAGAGCTCTTAGGGAGGTGGTCTCCATTTTCCCTTCCCTTCCATCATCTGGGTTCAGTAAAACCAGTGGTTGTTTTCTGGACCTTCTTTGGGGATGGTTAGGGCTAGAGGATGATAAGCTTATGGTCTTTTTTTTCCCTACTAATAATTCCTGACTAATAATTTCCCCACTAATAATTCTAGAAGCCCTCTCTGCTTTACTGGAGATTCTTTAAGCATTCTTTTGCAGAAGAATCTCTAATTTCTTTTTATTCCAAATCTATACCTGGACCCTGGACACATCAGAAAGCTACTTCTATAATAGTTACTTTGTTGCTTTTTATGTTACTTTCATCAGTTGATCATCTCTTTACTAGTCTTCTAGGCATACATATGTGTCATCCACTGACAGAGCAACATTTATTTCCTACTGCTCTTACCCAGTTGTCTCATCCTCCTTTGATTCCTTTGGTTCAACATTGTTGTCCATACTTTCTTCCCTTTATTGCCTGATGTTTTCATATCCCTCTTTATCCATCTCCTTAATTAAATTTACTATTAAAAATAGTTTCTGGGGATGTGGTGCATCCCTATAATCCTAGTGCTCTGGGAGGCTAAGGTAGGAGGCTCCCAAGTTCTAGCCCAGCCTGGGCAACTTGGCAATTTAGTGAGATGCTGTCTCAGAATTTAAAAAATAAAGAGCTGGGATGTACCTCAATGCAAAGGCCCCAGATTCAAAACCTAGTAGCACCCGTGCGTGCACACACACACACACACACACACACACACACACAGAGTTTCTAGATTATCAAAATTTTTCCAGGAACTCACACAAGTTTGTGTATTGTAACCTAAAACTATACATGTGGTAATGATAATGATTTCTTGTAGATTGGGGCTGATGGATTAGTGGAGGAAGTTTGTCACACAGTTTGTCAGCCTTGGCATTGTTAATATTTTAGGCCTGACAATCCTTTGTTGTGGGGGGCTGTCCTGTACGTTGTAGGATGTTTAGCAGACCCACTACATATCAATTGTACTTTTTTTTTCCCATTAAGTTTATTGGTACATTTTAGGTATAAAATACAGTTACGTTCATCATTGGGATCTTGTACTATTACCTGAGTATCTTGGTTCTTTTTTTTTTCCCCCTTCCCTTGCCCTCCCTTCACCCCCTCCACCATTCCCTATTTGCAAAGATTTTGTTTCCATTTTTTCCTTTTCTCATATTTTTTCTTTTCCCTTTTTTACCTTTCCCCTACCCCTCCCACGTCCCCTGCACCTTTAGACCTTTTCTTCCTGTTATACAATATCAATTATAAATTTCTTAAATTAAAATATCAAGATCTAGGACACATTACCACAGATTTTACAGATTTTAAAAGGATCTAGGAAGCATATTTCAAAAATCTGTTTTGAAATAAATTTGACAACTTTACTCTTTATCTGTCCATTAAACTTTGAAACCTAGGCCCCACCAAAATAGTCTTTCAATAAAATGACACAATTAGGATAGGATTGGCAAGGTAGAAGCAAAATCTTTATATGTAGATGAAATGATCATCTTCAGAGAAAATA